TTTATCAAAATGCAATGAGTGGTTCTTTAGATATCAGTGGAACAGTCATGAAACAGCTAAAAATCAGCTAATTATCATGCAAATTAGGTAATTAATATGCATGGATTTTTACCAAAACCTAATCAAATCTGCGCATTGGCCCAGAGCATCTATGCACCAAGTTTCATCAAAAACTGATGTATGGTTCTTGAGATATCAGTGGAACAGACGGACACACATACACACACACACACACACACACACACACACACACACACGCACACAGACACACTAACTGCAAAGACTCCCTTTTTGTGCTTCGCACACGGGAGTCAATGACATTTTTTTTACCAAAAATATTCACTATAATTCGAGATTAGAAGGTACCTTCACAAAATGAACAAATCTGAGTGAAAGCCATCCAAGGTATATTTAAAACTTTACATTGTAGCTAATAAATGTATACCAAATTTTAACAAATTTAGTAATGAAAATAAATTCATATAATTACTAAGTGACGAGAAACTGTCAATTCCTTTAGCACAATATTTAAAAAACTGTTTTAATACAAGACAGCAGTACATTCCTTGTATACAAATTTTAATCATTTTTTCTTTCTTTATGCTTTACTTTTTATGTAGTTATTTTTCTTTTACGAATATCTGATTTGTAACCCTTTTCATCCCCTCCGGGGGATGTTGTGTGTTAATAAATAAATCTGTTAAATCTGTAGTAAGTATGACACCTACACAGCTGATGATTTTTAAGAAGTTAAAAATGAAAAGTTGACGACAATGACAGATGATGGACAAACTCCCCACATAAAAAGATAAGTAATGCATATGTTTTAATAATTGATAGCCCCTGAAGTGGATCTATTATAGATTTAACTTCTATAGACAAACCAAAAAAGCGTGGAAAGAAAGAATGACTATTTTAAAGAGCGGTATATACATACATTCAATTGTACATCCATTAATATTTAAACTAGAGGTTTCTGGTCTATTCCAACCTGAGAAAACCAACCAATCTATAATCTACTAACCTTAGTGATTAAACAGGTCAATAGATGTGACACCAGATCCTGGCATTTCAAATGGCTGCATATGTGGACGATAGCTGAAACAATAATAAACCAGTAAATTTATGCAACATATGTAATCACTTTCATGTATCTGTTTTACCAAAAAACATTAACAGCATACAGTTATGCAATACTGCCTTCAGCCCTTTAAAGTGAAAAAAAAATCTTTTTGAAGATGACTTATTTTTGTAAGTGCATATATATTTGAAACTGGCTTTGAATACCAAACTTGTGTGCATTTCTCTATAATATTTATCTATTGTTTCATTCGCATTCAAATTTTGAAAGGCAGTATAAAAATTATGCTGTTTTATTTGGCGAAAGAAAGTTAACAGAACCAAGGATATAGGTTTCACACCATAATTAGAATTTGTATCAAAGGGCAGGGAGTCACATAGGGCCAAAAAAAAATAACTTGTTGCCCTCAAGTCGGAAAATTAAAAAATAGGGTGGGTAGGTCGGTCTTTTTTTTTCTCAGAGAAATACAGATCAACCCGAGGTTCAAAGTCACCACTCATCCCTCCAGGGACCCTGGGGATCAAACAACGGTCTAGGATCGTTAATGTTTAGAGGAAACACTTTTTTACTGCTTAAAATGGTGAGTTTTTAAAATTTGGGCCTATTTTTCAGTCGGTTGCTGAGGGCCACAAAACAGATTGTTTTTTTTTGGCCTAGGCATGTAATCCCTTTTATACATTTAGAATGAGTACTCAGCTGGGTAAACTTTTCTCATATTGCTAATACAAGTGTGGTTCAATCACCTAGGAACATTAAACTCCTGTGATGTGACACATGATCATAAGGAACATACTGGGAGTTGAGATCAAGTACAAAGGCCTACACAAGTGTACACTCTGCACAAGTCAAACACTCAGGTTTTAAATGTACTGGGTAATGGGCATAAATTTGGTAATAAATTATATTACGATTTATAAACAGATTTTGACACTGGAGGTTTAAACAAATACATGTGATAATGTAAACTGCGTAAATTGAGCAAGAGACAAAGCAGTGAGTCAGTGAACATTTCCTAAGTAAGACAGGCAGTCAATTTTGCAAATATTTTTTTAGGTTTGACCAAGTTACTCACAATTAAAAGGTCTTTCAACTAAGTTGTGTCAACAATACAACTTTAAAGACGAAATCAATGAATTGCTTTTTAGGTCGGACGCCAAATGCATGTCAAATTTGTTTTACTTATACACATATATACCCTCTGAGAAAAGATGATCAAAGAAAGCTTAAAAAGAACTCCCGTGTGCTGAGAGTATTGAAGACACATTAGAAATTATTTGAAAATTACTTGTACCTGAGATATTGATGGAAAAACTGAAAACTAATTATGTAAATCAGGTAACTAATATGAACAGAACAGAACAAAAAAATTATGAAATATTATGCTAAATAGAGAAATAATATGAACAAATTTTAACCCAAAATTAATAAGGCCTGTCTATTGTCCTAAAGCATTTATGTACCAAATTTTATTCAAATGTGATGATCAGTAATTGAGATATCAGTGTTAATTAATTATGTTAATTAGGTGATTAATAAGCATAAATATTTACCAAAAACTAATTGGGTCTCTACATAGTTCTAGATTCATTGAAATGTGATGATGAGTACTCTTTAAAAGTTTCATTAAAATCCAATTCATGGTTCTTTATATATCAGTGGAACATTCATAGAAACAATTAACTAATTATGCAAATCAGGTAATTAATATCCAATTAAAACTAATCAGGTTTCTGCATAGTCCTAGAAGATCTATGTAGCAAGTCTCATTGAAATATGATAATTAGTAATTGAGATATCATGCAAAAAGCTGAAAATTAACTAATTATGCTAATAAGGTAATTAATATGCACAAATATTTACCCAAAAACTAATCAGGGGTCTGCAGAGTCCTTAAGTAACTATGTACCAAATTTCATTGAAATGTGATGATTACTACTTGAATATGCAAATTAGGTAATTAATATGTACTGATATTACCCTAAAAACTACCAGGTCTGTGCAGTGTCCTGTGACATCTATGTACCAAGTTCCATTGAAATGTGATGATTACTACTTGAAATATCAAAAGCTAAAAACTATCAGGTATGTGCAGTGTGCAATGACATCTATGTACCAAGTTCTATTGAAATGTGATGATTAGTACTTGAGATATCAGTGGAAAAGCCGAAAATTGATTAATCATTATGCAAATTAGGTAATTAATATTGCACAGATTTTTACCCAACACTAATCAAATATGTGCATAAGTTTGGAGCATATATGTACCAAGTTTCATCAAAATCCAATGAGTGGTTCTTTAGATATAAGTGGAACAGTCATGGAACAGCTAAAAATCAGCTAATTATCATGCAAATTAGGTAATTAATATGCAAGAATTTTTACCAAAACCTAATCAAATCTGCACATTGGCCCAGAACATCTATGCACAAAGTTTCATCAAAAAACAATGTAAGGTTCTTGAGATATCGATGAAACAGACACACACACCTACAGACACAGACAGACAGACACACTTACTGCAAAGACTCCCTTTTTGTGCTTCGCACACGGGAGTCAAAAATATACGTCTGAAACCAGAATTGAATAATGCTTACATGTAGCGCTCACGCATATTCACAACTCATTAATTCACATATTCGCATAAAATGAAGTGAATGTATTTTAGCACTTCAGTTTCAAAGATTCAATAAAGGGCGACAATATTTTATTGTGTAAGATTGAATGTAATCGAGCCCATCATTTACAGGAAGTTAGCAAGCTTCCTAGGTAAGCCCCTATGAACATTGCAATACAGCAAGGGGCTTTCTTATTGACGCTATCAAATGATTAAATGTTATGGAAACGATTTGCTACATTTTGTGACGATCACTTACTTCCCTTGGTGCCACTTGATTTTGGATTAAAGGGGAACTAAATAGAGCCTATTTTGGTGTTTGTATTTATCAAATTATGTATATTGATTATAAATTTGAAAAAAAAATTAAAAAAAATGATTATCTTCAGAGTTATGATTTAAATATGAGAAACCATAAACCTGCGAAGGACTTCCGCTTGCGCCATCTTGCCATAAAAAAACGCCCTCATGAGGTATAAACAGGTAAGGTAACAAAGCATGATGACGAAATAGTATCTGATTAAATATAAGCAACTTAGGGAGCCATAGTTGGCTGGACTGGTGAATTGACTTCTAGTCTAGGTTGTTTCGACTTTTACGTTAATATTATTTACAAGCATATCAACATACAAACATTATGGATGTGCGATTGATCGAGACAGGCATTTTGTTTTGTTTTTTGTCTAACT